GGTGCCCACTGTGAAATGTGTTGTGGGTTTATTATGTTTTGGGGTGGTTTTACAGTTTGTGAGTCCTGGAGTCTTGGAGCTATGATAGGGTGAATAATGAACTCCAAGACAGAGAAGGATATCTGTTACCCTCTGCCAAGAACCTTAATCCAATGTTACATTTGTGGTTCAAAGTCAAGAAGCCAGTTCACAAATGGAAATTAAAAGACAAACAATTCTGCCCGGAAGAATGGTCAGAAATACTTCTCTAAAATGCCCAGAGGTGTCATTGTAATCCATTCCAGAACTGCAGGGTTGTAAATAAATATGACTCTCATGCTGGACAAGAAGTAATTATTAACTAAATTCATTATTTATGACAAATATATCTTTGTTCTGTGCAATGCTATTAAGATTACAGAATTATATTTTTCAGCAGGACACATAATTTAGTCCATAAATTGTTTTGGACTGGGTTGTACTTTATAGTGTATGTTTTATATATTATATGTATTATCTGTATATTCTAGTCAGTAACTGTTGACTGAACACTTGAAAAGCTGACTAGACACACTGAATCCATCAATACAGTCTTCATCAATATCTAGCGTAATCCTAATATTGTAGCTGTGAAGGGCTTGTTTGTAATTGGAGCCTAGATAACAATTTGTATGCTACAGTGATTTGTATATGCACTTTATTGGTGTAGAATGTAGTATGGTTACACTAATTATGCTCATTACTTTCAGCTTTAGACACAGTGGTGCCTACAGTATAGGCCTGTAATTGAAAGTGTCTTGGACAGAATATTAATGTGAAAAAATATCCCCCTCTTCAACAGCTGACTACAAAGAAGTCATTTTAGTTGTGTGAGTGCATTTCTGTCACACAGTATTGTTGCATATTATGAGTGTCTTATTTCCAAAATTACTAAAGAGTTGAAAAACCAATTAGGTTTCAGTTAATATGAGACAGTGATACAGCTTGCCATAAGTACGTTTAACGAACTGAACGAAAACAACATGAGCCATTACAATTATGATAAGAAATGTAACAATTTGCTACTACCGCTCTGTAAATCCAGTCAACCTGAAATAAACAGTGAGTTATGGACACAACTGTAAAGTATTTTGTTTGATATTTGGAATATAGAATTTATAAATTTTAGAATATCAAATTTATTTTTAGCAAAAAGTTTTGTACTGTAATTAGATGTAATTCAAAATATTTGACTCTGAAGAGAAATAATGCATCTCTACAACTTGGCCTATTCATTTCAATTTTAAAGAAATCTACAAAACTAGAATGATTTATTGCTAAAATGATAATAACAGCATCATTCCACATAATTAATATTATGATTCATAATCATTTGCAGTTTGGCAACCCTAGCTGGCAACCTATATACTGCACAGTATGTGCATAAGTTAAAATTATAACTTTGTGTTTTTTGTTGTTTGTATATCTTACTTACATATTTACATACATTGTAAGCAAGTTATTTACATATATTGTATGTAAATGTTCTTTACTTAACTTTCTAGTTAAACACTAAATGTGTTCTTACAATATACTTTTATGTCAAGACATTTCTTTTGCATCAACAGGTTGCATTCATTTTTCTAAAAACAAATTCTGAAAACCAATAGCTTGTTCTGTATAGACGAGTAATTCTACTTGATCTGTTTATGTGTAATTGAAGTTGCCTTGCTTGCTTTCAAAGGCGGATATGAGACCCCTGGCTGTGAGGTGATTTGTATGCAGTCAGCTCTCCCGGAGAAGGCTGTCTTCATTTGGGCAGAGTGACAGGCCATTCTTCAGCTGTTGTTCCGTTTCACACTTTATGTGAACCTACTGGGCCCCCTCTGAAATAAATTTGATGGCTCAGTGCTCTTTCCTTATAATGTCCTTACAGCTTACTTCAAACCATAAACAAAAGACTCATTTGATTTGGGATTAGAAATTAGAGGAAATAAGAGTGGAAGAGTGGCTTTGGTCAGAATATATTAACCCCGATGCTGAGGTATTACTAACTGGATGTATAGAGGGAGCAGTCAAGATGTTTTGAAACAGTTTTAGATACACTTCTACTTTAAAAAAAAAAAACATTGCTGGGTTGTAGTCAGGTTCCAGAATGATTGTTCAAACAGGGCAGTGTTTGGATTTGTCACACAAACATTATTGTCATTGTGGACAAAAAGTTCAACTTTTGACTCATCTATCCAGAAATTATTCTTCCAATAGTGTAGAGGTTTGCCCAGGTACTCTTTGGTGAACTTTACATTTTCATTAACACTGTATAGTATCTACACATTTGCAAAAAACACTATTTTCTAACAGAAGAACCCAATTATTAAGCATGGCAGTAGGAATATCGTAGTTTACAGTTTATCGTAGTTTTTGTTTTGCTGTCTCAGAACCCAGATAGCTTGCCATCATTGACAGAACTGTGAATTCAGTGTTGCATCAGAAAACCTGTGGCAGAGAATGTCAGACCATCCATTCATCAGCAGAAGCAAGACAACCATCCTAAACATACAGCAGATCTACAACAGGATAGCTGAAGAGGACAAAATATCACATTTCAGGTTAGTCAAGTCAAAGTGCTGACCTAAATCCCATTACATTCAAGTGGGGTTTAGGGTTTAGGTCAGGACTTTGACTCGGCCAATCCAAAATGTGACAAGTTGAAAGAAATCTTCCAATGTCTCCACCAGCCCAGGGAGTTCACTGACATTTTCTGTCAGGACATTACTAGTAATTCTGAGTGACTGATATGTGCCTCAGTAGTGTATGACAACATTTTCCCATGTCAGTCACATGTCTTTCATAATAAGTGAGTAATAAAGTTTATATTACTTTCATCGATCCATTTTCAAACCAATTCTTCTTGTTCAAGGTTGCAGGCAAGCAGCAGCCACAAGGCAGGGTATACCCAGGATGGGACCCCAGTCCTTCGCAGGGCAGACACACAGACACAAACACGCACGCACCTGAAGATAATTAACCCTCTAGTAGGTGTTTGGACTATGGGAGGAAACTGTAGTAGCTCTGCGAGGCAGCAATATTAACCACTGTGCCACCATGCTGCCCGTTTATATTACTGAGTATTGTCAAATGAACATTAACTATTGCTAACACCAGTTCATTAAAATCCTCTATAGCTGAGTGCAGAAAGTTAGGAAGATCATAAAAGGCACTTTCAGAGCTCATTTTAAAGGACAGTAAAATTAAGAATGTTAAGAAGGTTATACATGAAAGCAGGCCATTAAGCGCTTTTCACTTGTGCAGTATTAGGATTTTATTGATCCAAAAACCCCACAGAACTCTAATTGAATCAGAGGATTTTTGTACAACTGCAGTTTTATTCTAGTTTTTAGCTGGATTTATTTCTCATAATTAGAGTTTTTATAATAATCCTTACACTTATATAGCACTTTTCTGGACACTCCACTCAAAGTCCTTTACAGGTAATGGGGATCCCCTCCACCACCACCAGTGTGCAGCCCCACCTGGATGATGCCACAGCAGCCAAAGCGCACAAGTACGTTCACACACACCAGCTACCAGCGGGGATGAGAACAGAGTGATGAAGCCAGTTCATAGAGGGGGATTATTAGGAGGCCATCATTGGCATCACCCTTTGATTACTATTGACCATGGAGGGTCTTGGAGGGTCAGAACCTCAGTTTTATGTCTTATCTGAAGGACAGTGCCTTCTTCACAGTATAGTGTTCCCATCACTATACTGGGGCTTTTAGGACCCACACAGACCACAGGGTGAGTGTTCCCATCCAGATACTGGCCAGGCTCACACCCACTTACCTACAATGGGCTGCCATTTGTGAGTTGCAGGGTGATATAAGAGGAGTTAGACGAATGCTTCAATTAAAAGCCCTCCATGTCTTCTTTCTCATGCCCAAGTGATTGCACAATCTTTGGCTTTCAATATGTGACCTATCTTTCTGTGGTCGAATTACTGTTGCTGTCCTTTGTGGTCTTCTAATGAGTGTTCACAATGGGAGGGATTTTTGAGCAATACAGAGGTAAACCGAGACATTATACATGGGGTTGCAAGAGTACACAATTTAACTGTAGCATTAGATAATTTGACACAGTTCTTTGTATTTTTTTCTTTGCATTATGTATCAAATGCTCATTACAAAGTCAACAAAAATCTTTGAGTCATTTGTGTTTATAGATTTTCCAGTCCTATTCCATCATATTGTATTTATAGAATATCATTTTTCATTGATTACCAATTTTCATGATCTGCTTTTTGCATACACCTTTTTGCATTTATAAACATGTTTCATTTTTCCATATCTTAGTCTACTGTGCATCCTGTCTAATGCATATTGGATTTGACAGAGTACTCCTCTTAATTTACATCATATACAGCAGACAATATAAATATCAAACTCTAGCTAAATAATGTCCATCAGAAACAGCTCCAGTCCTAATACTGGTTTCTGTGGTCCTTTGCTGGGCATGCCTCACCCCAGAATGCTGCTTTTCGAGGAGGATTTACTTTGTCATTCCAGCGCTCTAACCTTGGTAATTTAATACAGTAGTCCACACCCAAAAGCAAACAGGTAGAGGTTGTTTGTCATAGCAGTTGCAACTATGTGAGGTCTCAATCTTAACTTTGTGAACAGAATGTTTTTTATTTATCTGGTGTAAGAAAGTAGTTATGGATTATGTTATTATGAAATGCAAATACAGTAAAACTTTTGAAGATAGACATTACCCCATTTTCAAATTATGCCTTTTATTTCCCTCTCTTTTCTCTCTTTTTTGTAATTTCCGCTTAAATGTAAGGGAATCTACCTAGAATTAAAAAGAGGCGTGGCTTCAAAGGTGAATATATGCTTCTGTACATTAGACACCCTTAATATGGGAAATTGGATGAAGGTGTCTTTTAGTTAGGCTTCTGCTTTTCTTGTTCCACTGCTGCAATGATTTGCTGCTGGCCACCGGCTGTACTGTAATGGCAACTCTATTGCTTGTCTCGTTCACAGGGAGCTGTTGCTGTCTCTGGCACTGGGCCAGGTGCTGTCACTGCTAATTTGTGGCATTGGGCTGACGAGCAAGTATTTGGCAGACGATTTCCAAGCCAACACTCCCGTCTTTCAAAGTTTTCTTAACTACATCCTCCTGTTCCTGGTGTACACCACCACATTAGCAGTAAGACAAGGTATGAAACTGGTTGTAAACATTTCTCTGTGAGGAGAAAAGGGTGGCAAAACAGTGGCTAGACCTAAGAGTGTCCTGTAATGGCCTCACAATATTATTCATTTTTTTCTAATTTTATACATTGCTTTCCGTCCTGTTTATCCTGTCTACTTTTCTTCTTGATAATGATTTCTTATATTCTGAGACACACTAAAATGTAAAAATGCTGTTAGCTCCAATTCTCCAATACCGTTTCTCAGTATGTAAAAAAGTGAGAGTTAATACATGCTGTTTTGCCAGTAAAACCATCAAGGATACTGTTTTTTAATTTACTAAGATTGGATCATAACACCGCCCACTAGAGTATATTTAAAGAAATTAAAAAAGGTGCTTAAAATGATGGTTTATTCTTCTAAGGGAAACCTTTAAGAATTATGCAAATGCATGTGGGTGTTACATACTGTAGAAAACTATTTTATAAATTCTAAACTATTTGCTTCAAGAATCTTCCATTCTTATCATCATATGTTTGTGTGTGTACATGATATGCAAAAGGAAATAATTGGTTCTGCCCATTCTTTCCCACATCATTGCAGTGTGCCCCCAGCTTTAGAGTTTTGATTTGATTCGTTTTAGCGATTAAGTTGATTCCCAAGCTAAAATCAGAAGGGACAGAAACGTACTAAAACTTAAAACTAGCCGTTGTCATAAACAACGCGGCAGCACAGACTGAATCTAATTATATAATACACACCTTTTCGTAACTGATTATGTTTTTAGTCATTTTTAAAGATAATAGCAAAATATGTCTCCCTTACAGAAAGTATTGAACATCTTAAAATATGTATGGTAGGCAAATAAGAGGGGTCTTGCTATTAAAAAATTGGTGAAAATACACAATACAGTTACACCATTTGGGTGAGCCCAGACAAACCAGTTAAAATGTAAAGGAACAGGTAAAGGTTTATCCCATGCTGAAAGGAAGAGAAAAAAAAACACAATTGCAGGCAGCTGATAAACGGAAGCACAACTACATTTAAGTGAAGAAGTACTACCAAAAGGAAGTGGTATTCAGTGTCTCTCTTCTTGTCAGTAATAAGGAGCTACCACAGGAGGCAAACCGTCTCATTGTTAAACATCCACAGGCATCTCAATTTTACCTCCTTCCTGAAATCCACAACCCAACACCCCTGGATGCCCAATCATCACAGCATGAAACTGTCCTCCCACTCATCCTTTCTCCAAAGTTTTAGAGGCTTGAGACCATTGATCGAAGGGCCTCCTTCTTATATTAAGGACACTAACCAAGCTCTCTAACGTTTAGACATTTATGTGGATTTATAATTTTCATGGCCTGGATTGTTTTACTTTTACCATGGAGGTCACATCGTTATACACCTTCATTCCCCACAATGATGGTCAAGCACAGCCCTCAAGCACACACTGGACAAATGCACAGTTCTTGATCCATCTGCCAATCGAACATCTTGCAGAGTTGATCCTTACACTGAATGCCTTCTCTTTCAGTAATCTTTTTACCAGCAAATATTACTATGCAAATATTTTTGTTGGCTGCGTAGAAGACTGCTTCTTGGCTTCCTATACCAGCTTTGTCCCTGACCTTCTCAAGCTATACACCAATGACTTTATTGGTGTTGCCATATGCTCTAATGACCAACTAGAGCATTTCACCAACTTCCACCCATCCTTTAAGTATACAGTTAACATATCTTCTTGTTCTGAATATAAACCTCTCCATTAATCACATCTGTCTATAACAAACCCAGAGATTCACACAGCTATTTCCCGTACCACCTCTTCCACCCCACACATACTAAAAACTCTCTCTCCCCGAGTCATTGTTACTCAGGCTCCAATGACTATGCAGTGATAACACTGACTTCCATAACCACCTGACTTCCACCTGAAATTAAACTCTTTTTTCAGGAAATACCCCACACATGTTATTGACAGGGCCCACTTTCAAGCCAAAAATAGCCCTTAGATCATCCACACAAATCGCCAACCATGTAATCTGTGCAACCTTCTTGTTTCACAGCTCCCCCAACCACCCTTCAGCAATCCGCCACACCAGGCACTTTGCCCTGCAACAGAACTCGCTGCATCACCTGCAATTATATATCCAATACCACACACATTCAAGGCCCCTCTGGACAATTCTCAGATGACATTATATATTCAAGCAAACACATTTACTGCATCTCTTGCAGAAAATGCCCAGTTATGTATATTAGTGAGACAGAAGAAGACTGCCAGACCATTTCATGGAACATGTCAGGGCTGTGAGGATCAAAGTTCTCTCCTAACCGATAGTTCTCCATTACACCTCCAAAGGCCACAAACTTTCTGATTTCACCATCTGCATCCTCACAGAGGGGTTCTGGAACTCCTGTTGCAGAAACACATCCCAAACCAAAATTATTTGGATGTTTGGATCACACCTTCTCCCTTCTCTCAATGAGAGACCCGTCTTCTTCTGAGTCCTTTTTATTAATTAGCAGATCTTGGCTCTTCACGCCTCTCATCCTGTTCTCCAAGTGTGGACTCATTCTCACCTGCTTCATGGCCACTTGCTTCCCACCCCTTCTGAACTATTCTGTCTTATTTTATTTATCTGCTAGTTTACCTGCCTGCCTCAAACCTGAAGAAGTCTCAGCAGTCAAAACATTGTGTTTCTTTTCTCTTCCTTTCAGCATGGGATAAACCTTTACCTGTTCCTTTACATTTTAACTGGTTTGTCTGGGCTCACCCAAATGGTGTAACTTTAGGCTGGAGCTGTATGTTGCTTAATCCCAAATTGGTGAAGCACTCTTTATTTCAAACTTGCAAACTGTGGAAGCCTGTTAGTGCCATTAAGAAAAAATATCTTGCATTATATAGTATATTGCAATATTGGTTTCTTGACTGCAAACAAAATGCTAGTTTCAATTTACAGGTTGCCATGTGCTTCTGTTTTATCAGCTATTACTGTGGTAAGGCAATCACTATATGCAGAAGTTACATTTTGCAAGACCTTGGTGATTTGTCACTGTGGCTTGCTGTCATCACAAATACCTACAGAACATCACTTTGAAAAGACAAAAGAACAGGAAAGCTGGAAGCACTTCTGTATGAAGGGGTTGTCGGGTGTGAAACAAGCTACAGTATCCAGCCTTGTTGTCAAAGTGATACTGTGGATTGTCGATGGATGAATTAACTGCTGACTAGCACAGAAGCTCAAGGGGCTGAATGGCCTCCTCTTGTTTGTAAGCTTTCTTATGTTCTTAAGAACTTGGCCGGTGGCAATGGGTAAGTGCAATATATTTGCATCAGTTGTTAACCTGAATTGCAAACTAAATATTATTGTTTTAATGTAGTCAGAGAAATGGCTTTTCTCAGTAAACATGGCTATCCAGCTTGCTCTGCTGAGATATTACTATTCATATCCCTTCTCCAAAAGACATAAGATGGGAGATCAAAGTAATTACCAGCAGCTCTATAATGTTTTAACATCTTGATAAAATCTTGACACAATGTTTCCCTTTGTTCATTGCCGTTCCTGTGTATCGTCACTAGCACAGTAATGTGAGTTAAACTTTTTCTACGTTCCCACATCCAGCCCTGTTTCCCTTTGAGAAACAGTTTCACTTTCATACTGATGTGAGACATCTTGTTTTTGATGGTAAAGCTGTCTGTTTTGCAAGTGTTGGATTTTTTTTTTCTATTGCACATTCATTAAGGAGAGGCATTATAGAAACATTTTTAGAGATTCTTACATTTGAAATTAAATGCGTGTTATGATTGCAAAATAAATTCCAATACGAGACAATTAGCTCAGCAGACAGATTCTGAAATGTCCATCAAATCACATAAAACTGAGATTCAGAATGTGATGGAATTGTCCTTGTGCTGAGAGACACTTATCAACAGAACTAGGGTGCAGACATTTTCATATTTGTAAACCCTTTTTAAACACAATTTAGTATGTGAAAATGTACATAAAAACAAAAAATGTTAAATCCATTGATGTAGCTCATATTTAAGTAACAATATCTGGAGTTTCTCAGAAAGGTTTTCATTATATGAGGCACTAATATAATTGACTGACCATAATTCCTTTGGTTGAGGAACAGTTTTACGATACCTGAGAGCCTCATAATCAATGTTGCTCATTTGCAGCTAGGAAGCACAGAGATTATACTTCTGTATTTTAACCTGGTTTTCTATAATATTATATTCATGTTTAAGTACTTTATTTTTCCTGTCTTTGTCAATGCTCAGTTAAGATACAAGAACAACATTAGTTTGGAAATAGAAATTGTAGGGTATCACATTGAGAAAAGTATACATGGATAACTTGTCACGATTGTAGCCCCTCCTACTTAAGGGCGCTCCGGCTCTTTCTTGTTTGTGCTATTCCCCGCACCTGAACCTTGTTCCAGTCTCTTTCCTGTCCCCCTTTAAAAGCCAGATGCAGTCGCCAATCGTGGCTCTGAACCTGGTTGCGCCTGGCTCAGTTATGCTTTTAGCTTCCTGCTCCTGTTCCTGTTCCCCCCGCTGGTCCCGACCCGGCACCTGTTTTTAATCCCTTGTTTTGGATGGATTACCCGGCCACGGACTTTTGCTTGTTTTGGATTCTCCCTTGGACTTATTCTTTGGATTGTTTGCCTCAGCCACACCTCCCCGGATCACTAGCACTGCATGGGCACACCCCCCTGTTTTCATCCCCGTATTCCTGCATGACTTTTTCCCCAGTGTTTCCTCACACTTCTTCGGATTGTGTCGTCTGCATAGGGTCTGGAAAGAACTGTTTGTTACATAACTAGTGTTGATTGGACAGACTTCAGACCTGAATTGGATAGGATATGAATGTTTTACAATGATGTTTTAAAAATTCTTTGCAACGATCCACATTTTATGTTTTATCTATAGCATTCTCTAAATATCTAAGTATGTCAAGCTGCATTAAATATATTAGCATTTTAACATGAATAATAATATAAAATACCATTTCAGAATACA